ACGCGAGCAGAGCCAACACTCAAAACGTCGGGCAGCCGTGTATCAGATACACCTCAAGGCAATGAAAAATGTCCACCATAATGTGCCTATTTATGTAATGAACCGTACCCCTGTCGTAACCCTTTGCGGAACCTTGCGTACACATGCTCCTGTTCGCAATTCGTGCACATGTTATCTTGCATGTATACTGTAATATAAGGCCTCTCTCTCTCTCCCTCCCTCACACACACACACACTATCATACACACCACTTTATTCTTTCATGGCGCATATATTGCACGAAAAGAAATGCAGGCGAGTACAGATTATAACGTTTCCAATATTTACGCAAATTACAACGTATAAATAGTAAACGACATCTGTCCAATATTTAAAAAAACATTTAAAAAAATGTACTCCATAAGTTAAAGCATAAAACTGCAACATTCCATGAAGCTCATTATGATTACTATGAAATGTAAATGATAAAAACCAAACCATTAAAAGTCTGCAATATAAAATTTCGACAAAATCTGCAGAGGATTTATGTGATAATTGGAAATTTCCATTTACGGTCCTCTGAATATTAGACTTTTTATGAATCAGTCAGATTAAGAACACAATTCCTCAAGAACTTCCTGTGAAAGTCTTCCTTATCGCATTTCAACAAAATCTACGAAACTGTTTATGCCACATACATACAGATCCATTTATAGCCATATATAAAGTAGGTTCTATAACAGCATAAAATCGAAAATTCCCGAAAAATCTCAGTGAAAGTCGCCGCTCATACAGAAAGTCCATGTTACGGTGTAGGTGCTGATACTGGGATACAGAAAGACGGCCCAACATGACCTTCACGTAATAACTTCCCTTTTACTCTGTAAAGAACGCTTAAAAGCTATAATAAACAAAACACAAAAAATGTGACGTCCTGTACAGACATGTTTTCTCCTTCCCTCTAAAGCAATAGGCGCAATTTGTTCTCCATATAACTTAAAATAAACTGTAATCAAATAGAAGCCTTTTATTGTAGGCAGCCGTTGTTCATACAGAAAAACAAGAAAGCTGTTTTAGCAGCGGTGGTATTTTCTTCTAATGTTAGTCTATAGATCTACGTGATGCCCTGTCGCGCGCATGCCCAGTAGATAAATGGACAGCGATATTCAGTGTGTGGAGAAGACCTCACAAGGAGCAAGTGTCCCACAATTATTAGACCGACAACGGACACGGCGGAGCACCCCTCCCACCTAGGCTCCGTGGGCCCTTCCCAGCACATACCTGACCCATGCACGAAGTCATATCTCGGGCGTGTGTTCGATCTTTGCATGAAGTTAATGCGTAATGCGGTACAGCCTACCTCAACGTCCATCCTCAAACATCACCGCAGAGCCAACCAGCGGCAGTCTACAAAAGCTAACACCGATAATTTACGATGAAAGTTGTCCGCTGGGATTTATTTTGATTTGCGTCTGTTCATTATACCTAATCCTGATATTACATGAAGATCATCTCGAATTTTATTAAAATTGACAAAAAGGACCCTACAGCACAAATGTTGGTGCATGTAAAAAAAAAAAGTAAAGCTATATCTGTACCAGGCCGTGAAGGCCCATAGGGTTGTGAAACGTTAAAAGTCCCACATTTTCTAGACAATCGGCTCAAAGAAGGCAGTCAGGTTGTCAGCCTTACGCGCCGGCCGCGCTTTACTCCCCAGGAAAATTATTTAATTAATTCCTGGTACTCATTTCTGTTAGAGGTTGGGTAAACCCCAGGGTCTAGTGCGGCTGGAAGGATTAGGTCAACCGAAAAAAATTCTTGAACCGGCGACCTTCCGGTTTATAGCACAGCCCCTCAACCAACTACGCTACCGCGTGCCCCCAAATGTTGGTGCATGACATTAAATATATATCACATTAACATCTCCATGTTTAATCTGAAACACATAACAGCGTGTTGAACCTTGTGAGATATTACGCCGTATATGCTGGTAGAAGCTTACAGATGTTTCGATGGAATGTACTGCTTCAATCTTCATTGTCGAAGGGTAAGTAAAGCATGCAGCACGTACTCAGCACTATATACTCTTACAGTTCTTCAGTTTGCAGTTTGTTTCTCTTCATGTGTCTCAATGGCGCCACAGTAAAGCTCCTTACAGACAGACCGGCTGCACAGCAAATGTACAGTAGCTTCCACTTGCAGTTCTGCTTCTAAATGTCGGTAAAGTCCCTAGCGTCTGCGTAAACTGCCATGCTCCGCCATAAACTACCCCCTGAACATAACAGAACTACTTTGGTGCAAATGCAGTTGTGCGTAGAACCCACAATACTTCCTGAAATGGGCACCAAACGATTTGCATGTGCACGTCATTTGAAAGTCTGTCCTTTCTTCTGAACAACGGTACGTCACACTTGGCGCCCTTTATTGGCAGAAATGCTGTAGTAACTGACTAACAATGAGCCGATCCCTACGGCTGTGGCAGCTTTAACGCAAAGTACACGGAGCCGGCGTATTCTGTACATATGCAGATGGTTAAAACGCGGATCCCCAGAAACGAGGAAGACTAAACCGGATGCCCGGTAGGTAGGTATATCAGGCCTCTACCAAACCGCACGACGTATTCAAATAATAAGCTATTGTGACGTATCGACCAACTGCTAGGCAACGACCGCAACACACACGCGGTCAACAATACAAGAACAGTGTTTTCTGTGGTGCGAGCACGAATCGTTGCTATGCAACGCATGCTAAACACATTCTCGTGTACGCCGCGACGTCACACAATAGAGAGACTGTTTTCTGCTGTGGTCCGTGCCGAGTGTTTATAAAGGACAAGAGATGTTTTCTATGTGGTCCGCGCAATGCCCAGTGATGGTAACGGGCCAATGAACATGCAGTCTGATACTTGACACGTGTTTTCTGCGTGGTTCGTGCAGTCTATATAACTAGATTCTGTTGCTACGACAGGTTAGATACAATTGGAGAATTGGATCGAGTTCTAGAGGGTCGGCAGTTGAAGGTGATCGAACAAAAAATGGCAAGAAGACGTCACAGTGATTTAAAGTGATAGTTCCTGTGATACAGCCGTTGCCAGTAAACGAACAGCGTGTCCTAGGTATCTGTGAAGTGGGTAGATCAGCGGTAGCGCTATAAACTGACTATGAATAAGACAGACTGTAATATAAGTGTCAATAAATCCAATCATCCAATCCAGAACCCATTGTTATTAGTATGGAACCCCGGACACGTGACGCCATACTGAAAGTGCTGTTTACGAGATACTCGTACAACTGACTCTGGGACTGTGAGCAACAGCTTTCACTTCGGTGGGTTGCAGGCGTGACTTCCGTTTCCTGACGGAGGAACGACCATTTTAAGATTTTGGACAAATCTCCCTCCTCACTTATGATCCCATGATAGTGGGCGTAAAGTCATACCTGCGCAAATCGCCGTGAAGACGTGTGGGGAGTAGAGGTATAGCTCCACCGACAATGACCTCAGCACTATATGGAGGTGAGGTTATCATACTTTGAAACTTCCAGGAAGTAGTCGTACTGTCGAGCCACCGGTCTTTGTTCAAGCGAAACTTTGTCTAACGGGTCCAAGTGAGTACGATCCTATCCCTCTCTTGCTCCTGATGACGGAAGCAAATCCAGCTTTCGACACGTCGTATTATTTTAGATATAACCGAGACAATGGCCAATCTCCAAAATACATTTATAATCAATAACGGACCGTTATTACAGACTTTCAGAGACTGACACCACAACCCCCCCCCCCTACACACATTTACGGGAATCTTTATCTCTTCGGGTCAGGGAAAGCAGCAGTTATATGCATGCTTGCACGCCCCTGTCAAGCTGCATGGCTCTGCAGCAGTATTCTAAAGAGCTTTTCAATCTCACTACACCTACAGCACGCTATAAAGTGTTCCTGTACAGTCACTACAGAATACGCGAAATGTGTTCTCCGGCTGCAGATATATTTTCAAAAATCTCCCACATTAAGACTTCTTGACTTACTGATTTTCTGAAACTGTGTGTGGATACAAGTAGTTTTTTTTATGTTTCTTGAGGTGGGGCGCTACTGAGTCAATTCGGTACGTCGGACACTAATTGGCCTATTGCACCAGCCCCGGATGATAGATGACGATGAATATGGACGAGTCGATGGAATAAGAATTGGCAGAGGAAACCAAAGTACTCGGAGAAAACCTGAACCAGTGTCACTCAATCCACCACAAATCCCACATAATCTCACCTGGGCTCGAACCTTGGCCGCCGCGGTAGGAAGCCGGCGATTAACCGCCTGAGCTATGGCGCGGCCGTGAATACATTTTATACAATTATTACGGACCTGTAAATCCCATTTAGAGTAGGCGAGACCCTGGAGTTTTGCGACCCGCAGTTTAAGAACCATGCCGTATTCGGAGGACCATTTCAACATAACTAACTTTTTACCTTTACTATTTCCAGCTACGAAGTAGATGACTGCATAGAAGCTGATATTTCATGTACGAACGAATGAAATTATTGTTCTTACAGAGAAATGTTCGTTTATAGTTTCCCATTATGGAATGAAAAATGCGGCGTAGGGACTTCAGTTACAGTGCGATGCAATAACACTTTGTCACTGACTATACCGCCGCCGATGGGCGCCCGTCTCTTCCTTATAGCCATGCCGTAGCACCAGAAGCGCTCTGCATTTCACTTACCGGTCAAATGTTAACACACCCAGGTAATTTGTTACATAATTAACCCCCCAACGCACGGCGGTAACTGTAGGCACGACCTGCTTTAACGTTTTGTTAGGACGATTCTCAGAATAAGAAGCGATATTAACCCAAACAACATTAACCGATTACTCTTTGAAATGGTGTCGCTTCTTGTTTTCTTTTATGTATGAAATTAATTTTTAAGTTGAATGAACTTCATGCTTCAAAGGGTTAACAGTTCATAAATACATCTGTGGAAATGGGAGCATTCAAAGAAACGTTTTTCCCTGAATGTCTTGCTACTTACCTCTCTGGAGGTGGGATGCATGGGGCTGGAGGCCGGACGAGGCGCACTCGCAGGCCACCTCTTGGACTGGGACTCGCTCTCATCCTGAAACACATACAGACCATTCTCACTGTAGAACGATAACAAGCGGGAGGTTTCAGTGATAGAAACTGCGCATACATTTGGTTCACCAAGTCATTACTCATCACAGGAAACACTGACAGCCATTGACGACCGAAACAACTGATATACTCGTATATATTGTGACAGAATAGTTCATTGCTAGGCAACGGATCGCTACAAGCGCGTTTCGTAACAACGAAAACGTCTGTAGAAATCAAAGCGTTGCTCCGAGCTTGACATACGCTTCGTAACAATGGATGAAACAAATAATAAAGTAAGAACTGTTCGAGATGGTCTAATTCAGCGTGAAAGCGGGGTCGAATCCCTCCACCGTAGCCCTGCGAGTCTCGAATCTGAGATAGTAAAATATGGTCGCGATTCCCAAGGAACTTGAACCCGAGAATGAATGCGCTGGCGAGAACCAGTAGCCACTGTAAACGACAGATCCGTCCCCTCGTCAGAGAGAGCGCCCCACATCAAGAAACCCGCAACTGTGTGACAGTAATAAAAAATCTGGTCGTAAGCCCCAGACGGGTGCTCTGTTCCAAGACAGACTGACCAACTAACAGTCGGTCGTAATGTAACTTCGACTCTGACTTTGACTTGAGATGGTCTCTCTTCTGTTCGCCCCGAGTTCAGTTGAGCTTATTCGTAAATCAGAACCAAGTCAGTCACAGTAGGAAAGAAGACACTCGTAGTCCACTAAGGAATGGAGCGAGTTTTAGTCACTGATTGTGAGCTGTAATAATTGGCTGTAATTGTAAAGGAAGTGCCAATAGATGCAATCAACCAATATATAATCCGTTATTATTAGCCATGCAAATCCCCAATCCCTAAGAATATAGTGCATATGAATGCAAAAACTTACGTATGAAGGTCCTGCGGACGAACGGACGAACTGCCGCCCAAGTCATTTTCCAAATCCCTATGAAAAAAAATGATTTTCCAACACTGGAACAGGCTAAGTTCCCATTCTGTGACACGTCAATAACAACAACCAAAGGTTATTGGAAAATCTTCCTGGCCACATTCACATTTTAATTAATGTACATTCCTTATAAGGTTAAGCTTTCTGCATGTTTTCCGAGAACCCAAGCAACAAGTTAAATCCAGAAACTCCATAATTTACCAAGCTGGTGCGACACTGCAAAGATACGAAGGAACATAAAACTGACAAATAAAACCTAGATGCAAAATATGCTGAACTCGTAGGAATGCTCATAAAACTAAAATATTCCATCGCATTTAAATTAGGTTCATGCAGCATTATGTGAAGCTGGAGTTACCAAGATGGGTGTTCTACCCTGATATCCGTGCAGTCTGCTGTGTGACCACGCATCAAGTATATGTAATTTAGTGCGACCTATAGCACAATGTTAGAGGCTACAACTACTGCTGTTTATTTCGTAGTGGACGCGAATGTGCAATTAATTCCACTACTATTTTGCTTCTGAAGAAGGAACTGCGTTCTCTAACATTCCTAATTTAAAAAAAAAGAATATAAATACACTTTATAAAAGCTAACAAACATTTCATGAGAATCTATGTATGAACTGTACACTGAGGCACATCAAATCAACCGCCCTTAACAATTCCAACATGATATAATTAACCTGTGATGTAGGAACAACAACAGCACCACTGAATGTAGTTCTGAGACGTTTTCTGATAACAGAGCTTCGAAAAACATTACTTTCATGCTTTCATTTTTATTCTACATCGCCCCTTCCATGGGCCAATACCATCACGTGTTTTAGTGATTACAGACGGGGTTTGGATTGGTGAATAGATTTATTGACCACTTACAGGTCGTAACCACACAAAACTATTACATTACTGGTGATTTACACACTACAAATCACTCCACACTAAGTCTACTCAATCTATTTTCACTAGCCTTTAAGTGTTAAGAGCTTTCAACAATGGCTATTCCTCTACAGTGTTTTCATTAGACGTTTCCTGGTAACGAATCTTAGCAATGGAGATTCTTCAGCTTCCGTTGCCTGCTGGTTAACACTCCACAGCTGAACACTCAACTCAACTACTGAACTCCCAACTGACGGTTGGTCAGTCAGTAAGTCTTGGAGTCGAGCACCATCTGGAGCTCATGACCAGCGCAGTCTTTCTCGGCTCCGAGTCCTTGGGACTCGCGACAATATTTTACTGTCTCAGATTTGAAACTTCCCTTTTCGTCGCCTTCTACAACTCGCAAGGTCACGGTGGAGGTATTCGACCCCGCCTCCACACGGGTTAAGGGGGGTTCTGCAACCCCCAGAAGGCGCGGCCTTCGGGAGGCGCAATAGGGAGCCCATCTGGTGAAGTGGGCCGGTCTGAATGTACTGAACTCCAAACAGTGGTTCGCCTCTCGTGTCAGACCTCACGGAAAACACGTGTCACGTGTCGAGAATGAGTGTTTATTGGCCAGTTACCTTGCGCTGCGCATGACGAGGACCACACAGAAAACACCTGATTGCAGATGCAGAATGAGAACACAGCAGTAAATTTGGTTCAGTGGGAAGTAAAAAGGTAAAGCTATCCTTATAACAGGCTGTGAAGGCCCACAGAGTTGTGAGACGCCGAGGCTCCCACATTTTCTAGACAATCGGCTCACAAATGGCGGTGAGTTTGTCGGTCTTACGCGCAGGCTGAATTGACCCCAGGACCACAGTGCGGCTGAAAGGATTAGGTAAACTGAAGGAAAAAAAAATAATCCAATGACCTCATCGGGAATCGAACCCGCGACCTTCCGGCTTGTAGCATAGTGCCTCGACCAGCTACGCTGTGGTAAGTGGGTTACTCAAAATCTTCAGTTCTGCGGTTAAACAAGTCGGCTTCCACATATGAAGGGCAGCTGGGAACATGTTAAACAAGCAGCTGCGGTAGCAGACAAGGAATAGCCCTGTAATCTGAGGCCTGAACGTTAACAGAAACGTTAAGAAATGGTACACATGGCCTCGGAACTCGATTCTTTCAAACTAACTAAGCTTTGTGGGTTCTTGTGAACACAATGATGAATTTCGGTCTCCACAAAGGACAGGGAATTCCTTGACTACCTGAGTGACTATCAGCTTCTCAAGGAAAACTCTTCTTCATGGACATAATTGTTTATATAAGTGAAATTTGATGTTCAAGTACGAAAATATTAAGATATACAGGACAACAATATTAAGGGGCAGGCGTTCAACTTACATGACCAGGCCTGTTGTCCAGGTCTCATGTCTCCGGCACTGGCCAGGTATGCTAGGTATGTGATGGCGTCACTCAAGTCTCACAGATCCATATATACATGCGTATAATATCCATTCTGCAAAAATGATTTGCCTCATTGCACTTTCGGTTCTTAGAGCGGTTGGGCGAATTTTGACGATACAATACGTTTCACTCACACATGGAGCTGAGCCCTTCTTGAGAAACCGCCAATTGTGCAGCTACTCAAGAACTTCCCAGCATTTTATGGAACCTGAAGGTTCATTACCGAGGTCATAAGAGCCCTTCACTGGTCTCTACCCTGAGCCAGACCAATCCAACCCATACCACCTCATTCTATCCCTCTAAGATCCATTTTAATATTGTCCACCCACTTACGTTTTGGTCTTCCAACTAGTCTCTTTCCTTCCGGCTTTCCCACCAATATCCTACATCTCTCCCCCATTCACAATATGTTTGAATAATTAAATTGTAAGAATAAATTTTCGAGAACTGAACTAAACAAAAGATTAATTCATTATCCCAGGCCACATGCGACAAATGTTCCGCTGTGAGAGGTATAGTTCCCTTGTTCCGTATCACACAACTGCAGCTTAACTATCCAGCCCCTCCCCAGCTTGTAGCTAAAGCTCTCTCTGTGCTTAATTAATTCAGCACCATGTCATGAAGATACATGAGGGTGTGGTGATATAGAACAACCATTCTTCGCCTCGGCATTGCACAAAGGTGTGTGGTTATCCTCAGGCCCCTGACGCTTTATCCCCTGGAAGAGCCCCCGCTATTCATTATACAGGAGGCAGGGCGGACCCCAGAACCGGCCTGGACGCTATGGAGAGGAGATTCCTACGTTGTCCGAATAGTAGCCTAGTCTCTTTACCGACTGAGCTATGGCGGCTCTTTAGTAACTTGAATAGCGGAAGAAAGTGTACGGGATATAGGAAAAGTTACGGCACTACACGAGGATGGTCATGAGTAAGTACTTTCCAAGGCCGCGCCATAGCTCAAGCGGTTAGTCGCTGGCTTCCCACCGCGGCGGCCCGGGTTCGATCCCGGGTCTGGTCAAGTGGGATTTGTGGTGGACAAAGTGACACTGGGGTAGGTTTTCTCCGAGTACTTCGGTTTCCCCTGCCAATCTTCATTCCACAAATTGCTCCACAATCACCCTCTCCTATCATCTGGGGCTGGTACAATAGGCCAGAAGTGGCCGCAGTACAAGGGACTTAGTCCCACTCCACTAGCAATAAATAAAAGTACCTTCCTCCTAGCTGCAGTCATCAGCTTTATCATCAGAAGTTAATGTTTGATTTATGAAAATTATATCTGGAAATCCATACAATTTGTTGAATAAAACTGTAAACGCCATGTAAATATGGCCTTCAACATACATGTGTACACACATATGTATTATGACGCGTATACCCATTGCTAGGCAACGACTCAGCAAATACGTTACCGCGCGAGCCAACCTGCTCGCGCTGGTTCCTCGCTCGCGGATTTTTATATCCTGAAGACGCAGGCGATGCATTCATCCGAAACGTTGGTTTACACAATATCTACACGGCGCCACATAAAAAGACGGCATTCTTCAAATTGGAATATGGTTTATTGAAGCTGAATTTAGAAAACGAATGTTTCATGAACCAATTTTACAGCTGACAGTGTGTGAATTCACATGGCCATCCATTCGTGTACCCTGAGGACTGAAGCTTCACAATGAAGTGAGACTGCCCAGGTTCACACAGACACACGTCTAGCAGAGCATGCTCTTAATGCGC